AGATAATTTATATAAAAAATCTTGGATATAATTTAAAAAATTAAAAATATAAATGCAAAAAAAACCAAGTACGATATTGTCCTGCTATTGAGAACTCTTCAGTATATAATATTTCTTTTCAATTATTAAGACAGTTCAAGATATCTTGTTTTGTATGAAGTATCGAGCATATAAATCTTACCGCCAGCACCAACTGCAATATTTGGTACCAATTGTTCGCCCCTACAGTTTTCTCTTCCTGGTACCAATCTCTGTAGCGCCGGTGGATAAGGATTTCCGTCCACATCAACTAAAAACGGCGGCGGCATTAAATGTGGCGCAGTTTGCGTTTGTTCGTCAAGAACGTAATTATTTGCATCTCTTATTAAGGGCCGGTAATCCGTATGAAAGAATAATTCTATTGGTATCTGAAAATAAAAAAAACTTAGAAGATTAAACACCCATGTAAAACAAAACAAAATATATGTAAATAATATTGCAAGATAGTTTACAATTTTTAATTTTTCAGCGCCAGATCCAAATCCATACATCAAAAGATGTCCATTAGAATCTGTCGCAGCGAGCATTGTACCATCAGGCGACCATTTTGCATCAAAGATAGCACAATTTCCTTGACCTTCGACAAAATTTTGAAAACACGCTATCGATTCCATGTTTAACACGTCCCAAATGATAAGCTGCCCATCGTGACCAGCACTGAGTATCAAACGAGAATCTATTGGATGTGATTCCAACACAAACACCTCGTCCTTGTGTCCCCGCAAAACTTTCATCAGTTCACCAGATTTAGCATTCCACACTTTCAATGAGTAATCATTCACTGCTGTTATAACGTATTCATCGCTCACATCCCAACAAACCATAGTTACTTTTGCTTTTTTGCTTGTATCATCGTCTGTTTCTGGTTCTCTGTAAAAGAAAAAAAAAAAAAGAATAATTTCAACATGCTATGTATTAGGCTGATGAGTATAAAAAATCTTTATAAAAAAAAAATTCATTGAAAACATACCCAGGAAGCTTTGTCGTCATGAGTAGCTGTTTATGTACCCATTGCTGTTGCTCAAAATGCCATACATTCGCAGTACCGTCTTTAGAACCAGAAATAAATTTTAAACCGCTGTGAGCCCACTGAATACTATCTACAGTATCGGAATGCGACTCGACTTCGAGGACTCTGCGTGGTCCTTCGTCCCCTAACATTGTGTAAACTCTTACGTGATGATCTGCAGATCCAGCTGCCATAAATGCACCTCCAGGACTGAAGGAGGCACAAATCATTTGTGCTTGACCAGGTCTCATTTTCTCATGATATTGAATAGGTTTTGTCCTGCAACAAATTACATATCGCACACAATCGTTCTATGTACAAATATGTATTGAATATATTATATTGTTTTATTTTATTATGAAAATAATACAATACATATATTACAAATGTAATACAAAGTATTGAAAATAATATATTACAGATAGAAAGATACTTATAAAGAATTATTTTATGTCTAAATTTTATATATATATATAAACTTACTGAAATACCGCTCTTTCGTTCGACTTCTTTGTGTGAGACCAAAAAGCCACTGATCCATCAGTACTAGTAGAGACCAAATAATAGACACCATTACATTCTATTGGACAAAAATTTACAGATGTAATCATGCCTGTATGCCCCATTAAAACTGCCACCTGAAAGAAGATATATATATAAATTAAAAGAAAAATATAGTTATCGTATATAAAAATGAAAATAATTCTCGCTTGATATATATTTTCATTTTACTTACAGGCGACATTGTCTGGAAACACCAAACTCTTAATACTCTATCTAAACTTCCTGCCGCCAATAAAGTATTATCAAAATTTACTGCAATGTCCATAATTTCGGCGGACGGGCCCCGAAAAGTGGCGAGTAAACGTCCATCGACTGAACTCCAGACCTTAACAAGCAAGTCATCCGCTCCAGTTATAACATATTTACCAGTGCGATCAAACAGTACACAATACACCGCGGATAAATGACCCAGCGTACGCCGATATAAATTCATCTTGCTGTAGAACTTCGTCGGTATTGCCTGTCTTCGACTTAGAGGACCAGAGTTTTCACGTCCCTGAAGTACACGTACTAGTGGGCAAAAACATATACATAGCAAAATTATATATTGACATTTTACAAGGCAGAAAAAAGAAAGTATCAGGAAAGTGCCAATAAAATTGCATATATAGCAAGTACATTTTGCATTCAATTGCCAACTCTTAATTTCTTACCTATATTAGGCACTGACAAGCTACCAGATAATTCCAGGAAGGGCTTTCCACCGAATCTTGTGGAAAAATCGACAATGCTGTATACACAACGTGTGATATCTACAAAAATAAAATTTTGTACATTATATACAATGTTCACGTACTTATATACTATTAAAAGAAAAGATTCTATTATTGCAATAAAGAATATAATTAATAGAAAACATTTATTTAATTCTTATACCTTCGTAGGTACGCAGCAAAGATTGTTTGCCTGCACCCAAAAGCGATATCGCTCCAGGGACACATGGCGGCACTTCTTTCTCTAACACTGGTCCAATTCTGGCACATATTTGCAGTAAATGATTTGATCCAATGTGTGAATATTTTTTTTCCTAAAAAAATTGTTACAATAATAAACCACTATGTAAAATAATCCACAGATAAAATTGAAGCATTTAAAAAGCTCTTTTATACGCTATATAAAAGTTTTCATATTATGTAATATTCGAAAAAACTATATAGATATTAATATCTGCAATATGTTGAGTATTTTCTTCTCAACATTATATGGTACTAAATCTTCATATCAACATGTGAAATTAGTTACGCATAATGCAAAAAATACTACTATGCAAAGGTGAAAATTAATGTTTCTTAATTACGCTAGAAATAAACATTGAAATTGGAAAATTGAAATATCGCGTTTATCGTTCGCGCGCATAATTCGAACGGCCAAGTAGTTCCCGCGGCCGACCAATCAGCGTAGTCCATTCGTCACGCGCGAGACCACTTTCTATAAATAAGCCGTGTGTGTGGACCTCTACATATATTCATTGATCAGCTCACGCGAAATGGCCGGAAGTGCGCTACGATTGGTTAACGGACGGCGGCAGTGGGGGAAGAGGCCACGGCGAACGTTCTACGCGAGAGAAAGAGAGAATGAGCGACGCGAGAGGAATCGCGGCAGAGGGCGGTTACGGGGGGATTAAATGGGGGGTAGAGCACCCCCCGCGGATTCACGACATACAATGCGCTCGGCGCATTATTTCATCGAACCACCTTGCGATATGGCGCAACGGCCGAACGGCCGTGTCTTACTCGCAAGACGAGTCGAGTCGAGCTATGTCCGGCCTCGTGCCGATCGCCATGTCATCATGTATATCCATACTCACCAATTCCTCGAACGTTTGATTGTGCACGTGTCCTTCCCAGTCGATTCGGGACGGCAAAGTCTGCGAACAAAAATGCCATCTAAAATCTATACAGGGAAATGATTAATAGGATAGAAGGAAAAATATCGATCCGATCGATCGGCATCTCGATCGATGAAGATCGGCAAGGGCCGATCGCGTACCGCGAGCGGCCGCGATACCTCACCAAGGTCAGCGACCTTGAGATTCTAATGTTTTGACAAGCAGAAACCACGTGCGCGAGACCATGTGGCCCGCGAGACTAGTTGTGTACAGTGTCAGGTCCGCCGATCGGCTTACCTTGGTATGCTCTAATTCCCGCTTCAGCGCCTGAAACAAAATGCGTTAAGACTCTCCCGTGAGTTACGACGCGGTTCATTCGGCATCTCGGCCCTTGATCACTTACCGCCGCGGCTTCCGCGCAGGGTCCCGCCGCCAAGAACTTCGCGATCAGGAAGTACAGCTCTGTAAAGGGAAAACACACGGGGAGCTTTAGACACGGCGGCACGCACGGCGGTATGAAGGCACATACAGCGAGTTCACTCGCTCGTATACGGCATTCTATGTTACCTGGTGCGATCCCGGACTCGTTCCTGGACGCGCTGACCTCCATCCCGACCGATCCAATCGATTTCTATTCACTCACAAGCGACGAAAACATTTGGATTTACGGCTCATAGCGCCGCGATAACCACCGCGGAGTTCATTTTCTTTCTCCGAAGCTTGGCTGTGCGACCGCAACGCGCACGCACACGCTCGCCTAAACCGACGCAAAGTAGTCCCCCAATGACGGAGCGGCTGCGAACAGGCGCGTAGATTAAGTCGCATGGTGCCCGTTCCTCTCGCTCACGATGACCCAGAATTTTTCAATCTCGTATCGCGTCAAAAGTCTGAAATCTTTTTCGCGGAAGAATATGATTTCAATAATCGTAACTTCGACGAGTTATAAACTTGCACGAAAAATTTTACATTTGGTCAGATTGTCATGGAATTGCCTGGCGATCGGTCATATTACATCATCCGGGAACTTATCTCGGCGAAGAGATTAATCCGCCATTGAAAGCGCCACACTTGAAAGCGTCTCGCGATCGTAGTTCGATTTGCGGATCCAATCAAGAAGAAAATTATATTATCTTATAGTTAATTTTACAAGTAAATGACGATGAAAATATAATATATAAATAAATATATGAATACTGTATAATTTATTCGTAATATTCTCTTGTTGCGCGAGAGTAGATTAAAGTTTATAAAAAAGAAAAAATGTTTGATAAGAGACACATCTGTTCGCGCGATCTCTGTAAGAATTCCATACAAGAATGTTCGAAAAATTATGTATTACAGTTATAACTGACAGAAAACTATATCGTTTCTCGTTCATGCTAACATCCGTCTTCGATATGTATACATTTGTCACCACATAACTAATTAATATTTGCAATGCAGATCAAAAGATCGCGCACATACTTGCGTCGAACCACGAAATGCATATCGTTTGACATATAAAATCATCGTAACAATTTCTCATGTTTATCACAAACGATCATTTATTTATTTATATTACCAAACGATTGGAATAAACTCTTGCATGAATTTATACGATATCTTGAAATAGTTTCTTCATTCGTTTTATTCATTAATAAATAAAAAAAAAAAAATTAATGTTTCTTAATTACGCTAGAAATAAACATTGAAATTGGAAAATTGAAATATCGCGTTTATCGTTCGCGCGCATAATTCGAACGGCCAAGTAGTTCCCGCGGCCGACCAATCAGCGTAGTCCATTCGTCACGCGCGAGACCACTTTCTATAAATAAGCCGTGTGTGTGGACCTCTACATATATTCATTGATCAGCTCACGCGAAATGGCCGGAAGTGCGCTACGATTGGTTAACGGACGGCGGCAGTGGGGGAAGAGGCCACGGCGAACGTTCTACGCGAGAGAAAGAGAGAATGAGCGACGCGAGAGGAATCGCGGCGGAGGGCGGTTACGGGGGGATTAAATGGGGGGTAGAGCACCCCCCGCGGATTCACGACATACAATGCGCCCGGCGCATTATTTCATCGAACCACCTTGCGATATGGCGCAACGGCCGAACGGCCGTGTCTTACTCGCAAGACGAGTCGAGTCGAGCTATGTCCGGCCTCGTGCCGATCGCCATGTCATCATGTATATCCATACTCACCAATTCCTCGAACGTTTGATTGTGCACGTGTCCTTCCCAGTCGATTCGGGACGGCAAAGTCTGCGAACAAAAATGCCATCTAAAATCTATACAGGGAAATGATTAATAGGATAGAAGGAAAAATATCGATCCGATCGATCGGCATCTCGATCGATGAAGATCGGCAAGGGCCGATCGCGTACCGCGAGCGGCCGCGATACCTCACCAAGGTCAGCGACCTTGAGATTCTAATGTTTTGACAAGCAGAAACCACGTGCGCGAGACCATGTGGCCCGCGAGACTAGTTGTGTACAGTGTCAGGTCCGCCGATCGGCTTACCTTGGTATGCTCTAATTCCCGCTTCAGCGCCTGAAACAAAATTCGTTAAGACTCTCCCGTGAGTTACGACGCGGTTCATTCGGCATCTCGGCCCTTGATCACTTACCGCCGCGGCTTCCGCGCAGGGTCCCGCCGCCAAGAACTTCGCGATCAGGAAGTACAGCTCTGTAAAGGGAAAACACACGGGGAGCTTTAGACACGGCGGCACGCACGGCGGTATGAAGGCACATACAGCGAGTTCACTCGCTCGTATACGGCATTCTATGTTACCTGGTGCGATCCCGGACTCGTTCCTGGACGCGCTGACCTCCATCCCGACCGATCCAATCGATTTCTATTCACTCACAAGCGACGAAAACATTTGGATTTACGGCTCATAGCGCCGCGATAACCACCGCGGAGTTCATTTTCTTTCTCCGAAGCTTGGCTGTGCGACCGCAACGCGCACGCACACGCTCGCCTAAACCGACGCAAAGTAGTCCCCCAATGACGGAGCGGCTGCGAACAGGCGCGTAGATTAAGTCGCATGGTGCCCGTTCCTCTCGCTCACGATGACCCAGAATTTTTCAATCTCGTATCGCGTCAAAAGTCTGAAATCTTTTTCGCGGAAGAATATGATTTCAATAATCGTAACTTCGACGAGTTATAAACTTGCACGAAAAATTTTACATTTGGTCAGATTGTCATGGAATTGCCTGGCGATCGGTCATATTACATCATCCGGGAACTTATCTCGGCGAAGAGATTAATCCGCCATTGAAAGCGCCACACTTGAAAGCGTCTCGCGATCGTAGTTCGATTTGCGGATCCAATCAAGAAGAAAATTATATTATCTTATAGTTAATTTTACAAGTAAATGACGATGAAAATATAATATATAAATAAATATATGAATACTGTATAATTTATTCGTAATATTCTCTTGTTGCGCGAGAGTAGATTAAAGTTTATAAAAAAGAAAAAATGTTTGATAAGAGACACATCTGTTCGCGCGATCTCTGTAAGAATTCCATACAAGAATGTTCGAAAAATTATGTATTACAGTTATAACTGACAGAAAACTATATCGTTTCTCGTTCATGCTAACATCCGTCTTCGATATGTATACATTTGTCACCACATAACTAATTAATATTTGCAATGCAGATCAAAAGATCGCGCACATACTTGCGTCGAACCACGAAATGCATATCGTTTGACATATAAAATCATCGTAACAATTTCTCATGTTTATCACAAACGATCATTTATTTATTTATATTACCAAACGATTGGAATAAACTCTTGCATGAATTTATACGATATCTTGAAATAGTTTCTTCATTCGTTTTATTCATTAATAAATAAAAAAAAAAGACAAGCAGAAACCACGTGCGCGAGACCATGTGGCCCGCGAGACTAGTTGTGTACAGTGTCAGGTCCGCCGATCGGCTTACCTTGGTATGCTCTAATTCCCGCTTCAGCGCCTGAAACAAAATTCGTTAAGACTCTCCCGTGAGTTACGACGCGGTTCATTCGGCATCTCGGCCCTTGATCACTTACCGCCGCGGCTTCCGCGCAGGGTCCCGCCGCCAAGAACTTCGCGATCAGGAAGTACAGCTCTGTAAAGGGAAAACACACGGGGAGCTTTAGACACGGCGGCACGCACGGCGGTATGAAGGCACATACAGCGAGTTCACTCGCTCGTATACGGCATTCTATGTTACCTGGTGCGATCCCGGACTCGTTCCTGGACGCGCTGACCTCCATCCCGACCGATCCAATCGATTTCTATTCACTCACAAGCGACGAAAACATTTGGATTTACGGCTCATAGCGCCGCGATAACCACCGCGGAGTTCATTTTCTTTCTCCGAAGCTTGGCTGTGCGACCGCAACGCGCACGCACACGCTCGCCTAAACCGACGCAAAGTAGTCCCCCAATGACGGAGCGGCTGCGAACAGGCGCGTAGATTAAGTCGCATGGTGCCCGTTCCTCTCGCTCACGATGACCCAGAATTTTTCAATCTCGTATCGCGTCAAAAGTCTGAAATCTTTTTCGCGGAAGAATATGATTTCAATAATCGTAACTTCGACGAGTTATAAACTTGCACGAAAAATTTTACATTTGGTCAGATTGTCATGGAATTGCCTGGCGATCGGTCATATTACATCATCCGGGAACTTATCTCGGCGAAGAGATTAATCCGCCATTGAAAGCGCCACACTTGAAAGCGTCTCGCGATCGTAGTTCGATTTGCGGATCCAATCAAGAAGAAAATTATATTATCTTATAGTTAATTTTACAAGTAAATGACGATGAAAATATAATATATAAATAAATATATGAATACTGTATAATTTATTCGTAATATTCTCTTGTTGCGCGAGAGTAGATTAAAGTTTATAAAAAAGAAAAAATGTTTGATAAGAGACACATCTGTTCGCGCGATCTCTGTAAGAATTCCATACAAGAATGTTCGAAAAATTATGTATTACAGTTATAACTGACAGAAAACTATATCGTTTCTCGTTCATGCTAACATCCGTCTTCGATATGTATACATTTGTCACCACATAACTAATTAATATTTGCAATGCAGATCAAAAGATCGCGCACATACTTGCGTCGAACCACGAAATGCATATCGTTTGACATATAAAATCATCGTAACAATTTCTCATGTTTATCACAAACGATCATTTATTTATTTATATTACCAAACGATTGGAATAAACTCTTGCATGAATTTATACGATATCTTGAAATAGTTTCTTCATTCGTTTTATTCATTAATAAATAAAAAAAAAAGTAGGAAAGAGAAGTAATGGAAAATGTATTGTGTACACACATTTACAGGAATTGATCGAGCGACACGTGTATGATAAACATATAGATACACATATATGTATACATATGTATATGAATATCCGACTCATCAGTAAGAATCACGCGAGGCAGAAATTCCGCTCGATGATAATCGATCCAATGTATTGTCGCTTCCTGAATATACCTAAATAATACGCAACGTAGCATAGATAAGACACATAATTAAAATATTTGTGAAATTAACGTGCCACGTCAAAAATGGCTTTAGCTCTGATATGAAGGTTAGACGATGCCTAACAGCTGATTAGCCTCATTCGTCGCTGTTATCGTTTTAAGAAATACTGCATATTGTACACATTTATGTGCGCCACTAAATCTTAATTGTTGCTTACTTAATAGTGAGAAGTCTGACAAAAGTGTGTTTGACAGAAATAAATTGTAAATAGAACCATAAATAACATATTTTCATACATTTCTACGTGGACTTGTCTAAAGTAAAATGTCATGGATAAGAGAGCATACTTTGAATTGGTTTCAATTATTGGCATTAAAAATTATAAGGACTGGCCATGTGCCTAAACATGTGGCATTTATAATGGATGGTAACCGACGTTATGCGAATAAACAAAACGTGGCCAGAATAGAAGGACATGTAAGAGGGTATGTGTCTCTGAAAAGAATTTGTAACTATATATTAGTCTATTATGTTCTTTTATATCATGTATGTGTCTTATGTTTTACTTACGACAGATTTGATAAACTGGCAGAGACATTGAGTTGGTGCAGAGATCTGGGTATCACAGAAGTCACAGTGTATGCTTTTAGTATAGAGAACTATAATCGCAGTAAAGAGGAAGTTGATGGACTTATGGAGCTTGCAAGATGCAAGTTTATGCGTCTTTTAGAAGAGAAGTGTGTATAAAGTTTTAAATTGAACATATATTATGTCATAATCTGATGGATCTTATAATTACAAAATGCAATATTTTCAGGGATAAATTGGCAGAACAAGGAGTATGTATTCGTGTGATTGGCAATTTGTCCTTGCTTTCAGAGGATATGCGTAAATTATTTGCCGAAGCTATGATCATCACTGAAAACAATAATAAAGCAACATTAAATCTTGCTTTTGCTTATACATGTAAGATAATTATATAACTAATATATATATTTATACTCATTGTTATACTTTCTATTAAATATGAATAAGAATTTAAATTACTTGTTAAAATAATATTACATAACTTTTTAACAAAATTTTAATATCTTTTCAGCAAAGGATGAAATTACTCATGCAATTAAGGATATAGCAGAAGGTGTAAAACATGCTGATATCTTACCAGAAGATATTAACGAAAGCTTGATTTCTCAGTGTTTATATACTTATAAATCCTCAAATCCAGATTTATTAATTCGTACTTCTGGAGAAGTTCGGTTTAGTGATTTCCTCTTGTGGCAAGTAAGAAGACATAGTTTATTTTAACAAACTTTTTTTTATGATTTATTAAAGCGCAACTAAAATTATCTTAAATTGTTTTTCAGATCTCCAATACCTGTATCTACTTTACCGATGTATTGTGGCCTGAATTCAGTTTATGGAATTTACTTAGCGCTGTTTTCTATTATCAAAGATGTTATTCTGATTTACAAAAAATCGTGAAAGTACAAAATTTGGAGCCAAGGGTGCACAATGATAGAGTATCTATGTATCTTAATAAGTTGCATCATGAACGCCAAGTTATGATTGAAAATATGTATCTGTCAACAGTTCAATCATAGATATTAAATAATATTTAATGCGCTTATATTCCAGTAAATACAAATGTCAGTCAAATATGTTGAAAACCTGAAACCTGATTGAAACCATATTTTGTTTCAAATCAATTTTCTAGGATAGAGTGTAAACTTGTCAGGGTTGATTAGATATAAATGACTGTCGAAACTATAATATATATATATATTCTATAATATATATTAAAAAATTTATACGACTCAGGGAGATAACTACAAATAATTCTTCCACTTATACAAGATATTTTAGAAAATAAATATGTGATATATAAAAAAAGGTAGAAACAAACAAATCCTTAAAATATATGTGTGAGATCCGAGATTGAAACATGCAACAATTGAAATATCAATTACAAAATTTTTACTTTTACAGAGCTTCTTTTTCATATATCTTTTCTATAAACATAACATGTATCATAAATCTATTCTTATGAATAAATACATAATCAAAGATTAGATAATTAAAGAAACTTGTTTTAAGATGTATAAACTAAATAATTATCAATCTTGCACATAATAAGTTGTAATGATTTTGACAAATATTATTGATATTGTTAGAATGGAATATTCGTTTTTCCTGAAAGGTTCTAGGTGTAATTATATACATAGATATTAATAAAATCTGTTTCCAGTATGCAACGTATATTATATAGCGCATTTATATATTTATTCATCTTTGTATATGTACACATTCCATACATAAGTTTTCCAATTGTTTTTTATTACACATGCACATTGGGGGATTATGAAATAGAATTGTAAAAGGTATATATAATAGCAATAACATAAATCATGTATCAAATAAATAATATTAGTTATAACATTAATGCGCGACTATAAAAATGTATGAATAAGTATGTTGTATTGTGTGTGTGTATAATATTTATATAATGTATTTATTAAATTCTAAACTTGATTATAATATATTTATTTTCCTAATTCCAAGAAATATTTGTGTATATTTGCATATACATTATTTACAATAATTTGTCTCATCATATATTATTGCACAGAGCAGATAACATTTTTCATGAATATACACTTATCATCAATCACATTCTATCAAAATAAGCAACACCATATAAATATATACAATATTTTCCACAAATCAGTATAATTGGTCGTCATCAGCATAAATTAAAATATCACTAGATGGTATAAAATTTGTTCATGTTATAGAATATTCAATGTGTTGCGCAATATCTATTATTACTGTATTGCGAAGCAATGTATATTCCATCAATATATATATAATCATCTTATTTACAATTTATTTATTTAATTTTTTTTTTTTTGAGCTCAATTCAAATAAGATAAGTATAACGATAAACATTTCCGATATAGATTGCGATACAATTTTAAAATATGTGAATTTAATTCGTTTTTCTAGCTGATGGAGATATTCATGTGCAACTATTTTTTTACTTACGTACTTATTAAAGATACAGGAACATATATATTGGCACATCTCTAATAGCCAGAAAAACATTATAAATGTTTGGCTGATAATCGAAATTATGAAATAAAATATTGGAATTATATATCTGTTTGATAATTTTACAGGAAGACAGAAAAATTGGCTGGATATACACATCTACGAATGATTTAAATAAATGTCTATGAAATGAACTAAATCTCCTTCATTTGCAAGATGTTGTTTATATCGTAAATTCTTTCTCTATATGAGACTTTATATGAATTATTCTTTTTTTTATTAAGAAGTAAATGTGTCTAATTCTTGGTTTTTTTTTGTCTTTGTTTCGAATTATTTCATTGCATCTATATCGGAAAAAAATATAAAAAGTCAATTCTGATAATTATAATAAAAAAATAAATGTGATATCTCAATATTATTATGTTATGATAATAGATATTAATCATGCTACTCATAGTCATCGTTATTTAATAAATTTGACTATTAAATTAAAGTTCAACATGTGTGTGTGTGTGTATGCAGTATCACATTTATCATATTATTACTAATGATAATAATTATAATTATAATTAATTACCTCAAATAATCAAATACCATTTTATTACTTCTTTGCAATACTTAAATATGAAATCGACTCGCTCTTCTCATTTTGAGTTGTAAGGTGGATAGCGTCTTGCCGAAGGTTGCCTTTGTCTGGCTAAGAAGGATTGACCCTGTCCTGAACTAAGCGCCGCGAGCCGTTGATCTATTACCTCTCTGTGGCAATTCAGGCCTAATTTATGAAAAGCAGTCACCATTAGCTTCTCTTCCATCTCTCGCAACAATCTGGATTCTTTCATGGAGCGCTCCATGTCCTCAATCATCTTGCGCTGTTCTAGCAATTGATTGCGCAGCACAACGACCTCGCTCGGTGAAGAATTACTCTGTTTCGGGTCCAGACTCTTTATAACACTCTTGGCTTTTTCAATGTACTTCTTATAGCGTTCCTCGAGAGCAGCGTTTTCGTACTCCTTCCGTGTCAGTTTCTCCTGAATAGCGAAGGCTTTCTGCTTTTGTGCTTGCAGAGCGCTCTCGCGTTCCTCGAGTTGTATGGTCAGCCGTTCCCTTTCGGACTGTATTTTTCGCAGTTCGTCCTGCAGCTGCGACATTTTCTGATTCAAACCCGCGTTGTCGTTCTTATTGTCGTCGCTGGCTTGAGTACCCATGACCTCCTCCAATTTGGTCTCTAATTCCATTATCCTCTGATTCGCCTTGCGATTTTGCCCTCGCAATGTGTTTAAACGTTCCTCAGAATCCTCCAGCAACGCTTGCACACTCGGTAACTTGTCCTCGTTACCTGTCTGCTTCATCTTCAGCATCTTGTTCTCCAGTTGTAAGCAGAGCAATTTCTCCTTAATCTCGAGCGGAACCATCTCCGTCCCGGCAACACCAGTACTATCAGCACTGGGTTTCGCCATGTTCTCGGCAGTTTGCAATTGCGTGCACTTCAACTCCTCATTCGTCTCCTTCAGGGCATCCCTTTCGATGATTAATCGATCCCTCTCCCTCTGCAAAGTACCCAACTTGGCTTCCATCTTTTTACCCTCAAATTCCAGTCGGTCGTATTTGTTGCTCTGCTCATCCAGCCTATGATGAATTTCCGTGAGTTGCTGTTTGCACGCCTCCAAATGATTACGCAACATCATCGTACGCTTTACTTCTTCTTCGTAGTCCAATTTGGCTTGTAAATATTCGACATTCTTATCTTCCGATATCTTCAGCTGCCTCTTAAGATCGCTCAAATCCTCCATCTTCTTCTTGTACGATTCTATCATGATTTCATATTTTGCTACTTTATCTACAGTTTCCCTCAAGGCATCGACTTCGTCTTTCAGCTGATTTGCTTCGTCAGCTGTTTTTTGCAAATCTTCTTGTCTCGACTGTAACTCCAACACTTCCTTTTCCAACAATTCTGCCTTTAATCTGTAATCATCCCTGGATGTTTCCATCTTAAACAATTCGTCCTTTAATGCTTCCACTTGTTTCCGTAGCCCAGAATATTTCGATATAGAGCCAGACTCCTCTGGGTTCTCAAACTCGTCCAGTTGCTCCTGCAATTTTTTATTCTCCGCAATCAATGCAGCCTTTTCCTCCTGTAACAAAGAAAGCTGTTGATCAAGCTCGTGACACTTCTGCGCTAGTTGATCCTTCATATCCGCTGTCGCCTGGAGTTCAGCATAAAGTCTCTGTTGAGCACCATCGGCCACATCCAATTCAAAGTTCAAGCTGGTACGCAGGCTCAATCTGGGTCCATGCACGCTGCTCTCAAGCTCCTGGATACTCTGCATTATTGCCTGCTGTACAGTTTCCTCCATACCCATTATTTTGGTGATGTACTGTTGCTTCTGATCACAATTGACAGCACAGCCAAGAATCAGCTGTAATAAACGACGCAGCTCGTCGCTGTCGCAATGCTCGCCGATCTTGATCGCATCTGGTTTGACATAGCCTGACAATTGCTGATTCAAACACTCCAAGTAATATTCCATCACAGCCTCCACAATCTTCTTCATGTTGCTTACTCTAAGACGCCAATTGGCACCCACGTCAATCTTGATCTTCGCCTTCCATACCGCTGTGAACCACTCTGGTGCAATCTGGGCCAAGGCTTCCGCCAGGGCAACCCCGTCACTTATATCCTCTGCAGAGTTATGCGGCGCTTGAAGATCGAATGTACCCAACCATTTGATTAAATTGCTCAATTGTTGTCGATGATCTCCCATTTCGCTATGTTTTCCCGGAGTCTAGAGAGCTTGAAGAAAGCTCGGGGATACTCGCACGTCTCTAGTTTTCATCAAATTCTGTGGCACGTGTTGTTCTCGTGACCGCGACTCTTGATTGAATTCATAATCCCACTTGTCTTTCTTTGAATCGAGATACAATATTATAAATCAGATGTAGAATTGTGAATTCCTATACCAAACCATCTGTTCTGCTGCATATAGACACTCGATCTAACCTAAAATTGCTATTGTTATCGCGCCCCGATACGGTCTGATAGCGCTTTATCGCACTTTATCGGAGAGAGCAGGAGAGATGCGGAAGTCGTAAATTCAAGTACCACCTCGAACAATGGCTCGTGTAGATAATGTGCGATAATTGTATCGTACATGGCATAGATTATATGACGAGATTACATTGGAAAAATGTTTTTGACGAGAATCATTAAAAAATCCATGATGGCAGTAAGCCCGGTCAAGCAGCAATGCAAATTGTATTCGTATTATGCATCGAGAAATACGATTCACCCTGCAACCCAATTATCGGGAACTTTGTGTTTCTGCAGCGATAGCCCACTTAAATGTTGGAATTGCAATTATATATACAAATCCGAGCTATTCTGTTCGAAGTGCAAAGTGTTGCAGGAACTACCGCAGAACTTGGACTACTTCGACATCATAGGAATTAAAAAAAATTATAATGTGGTGAATGAAGAAATACATAAAAAATATACAGAGTTGCAAAAAATGTTACATCCTGATAAATTTGGTAACAAATCTGAGGCAAGTATTCATTTTTAGGCACATAATTTCCTATTGCAAGCCTCTTAATTTAAGATTATCGAAAGTCCTTTCTGTATCTAATAAGCAAAATTTGCTTTAACTGTCGATAGAAAGAAAGACAAATCTCAGAGAATATATCTTCTCTAATAAATAAGGCTTATAGTACATTGGTGCATCCATTAAAAAGAGGATTGTATATGTTACAATTAAAAGGTATATCGATACCAGAAGCAACCACCAACTTGAATCCAGAATTTCTTATGGAGATTATGGAGCGTAATGAAGAAATAGAAAATGCGATGGAGGACAAAGACAAAATCATCAAATTGGCCAAAGAATCCAAAAAAATGCTTGATACATTGTCAAAGTAATCTTCACTTTTTTTATTAGGCACATAATTTCCTATTGCAAGCCTCTTAATTTAAGATTATCGAAATGTCCTTTCTGTATCTAATAAGCAAAATTTGCTTTAACTGTTGATAGAAAGAAAGACAAATCTCAGAGAATATATCTTCTCTAATAAATAAGGCTTATAGTACATTGGTGCATCCATTAAAAAGAGGATTGTATATGTTACAATTAAAAGGTATATCGATACCAGAAGCAACCACCAACTTGAATCCAGAATTTCTTATGGAGATTATGGAGCGTAACGAAGAAATAGAAAATGCAATGGAGGACAAAGACAAAATCATCAAATTGGCCAAAGAATCCAAAAAAATGCTTGATACATTGTCAAAGTAATCTTCACTTTTTTTAGCCTTAAAAAAAATTTATACTGCTAAAATTTTAATATACCTCATAATGTTTTTGTCAATTTTTCTTCAGGCAAGTGGCAGAAGCATTCAATAAGGAAGATATTGAAACGGCAACAAAGATCTTGATAAAAATGAAATATTATAATACTATAGATGATAGATTAAAAAGGCTAAAACATGACTTAGGTATAGTAGAATAAATATATTATAACATTTGCAACAAACAAAAATTCTGTTTTTAAATCATTTTTATTTAATGCATTAAATATAAAAAACATGTTTTTATATGTATTATTTTATATGTGTAACTTATGCACAGATTTTTGTATTTGCAACAAGTTAAAGTGTAAATAATGCATTAGTTTAATTTAGATAATGTAAATAAAGTAAGAAAGAGTGTATCAGATTGAGGGGAAATTAATTACATAAATTTTCAAGTTTGCTGATTGTCTATTTTCCACTGCTCCAGCCACTGACATATTCTATTTACATTATCTGTCACCTGATCTAAAGTATTGCTCATTAGTTCGTGTACTATTTCTTTCCTGTAGGATGACCTTGCCTCTTCAAGAATAGTTTGAAAAATTTCGCAAGTTATGTTATCCTCTAGTTTTTTTCCACAATATCCCCTTTCCTTGAGGCGATCATACAAGGTAGTATTGTCTGTCCTGAGTACAAATACAATATCAAACCATCTCTCGGGGAAGAAATCGACACTATGGTAATCTACAATCTTTCCTCCTTCGTTCATAAGATTCTCCATTCCATCCAGTAGCTAGAAAAAAAATATTGTGTAAAGATTTATACATATGACACTAAGAAGATTTAGACAATACAAAATTTACAGCAAATAATATTCTACAGACTTTATATTTTAACTAAAAATTTTAAGATGGTAAGATATGTCAACTCAATAACAAAAAATTATATTAAAATACCTTTTCCTCATCTAACATATTGCAATGGTACACGTCGTCGTATTCAGTCACACATTCATTCTCTATAGCTAGTTTACTAACATCGAGCCATTCTAATCCGGTTTTCTCCGACAACATACGCGACATTAAACTCTTACCGACACCAGGCGTGCCTGAAAATTATAGATTATTCTGAATGACACTTGCTAAATGACGCGTATTACAATTAGATATGCTATTATATACCTGTCACTAGAATATTAGGCGCATTTCTATGCATGTTTAACATTTTTCAAAAATACAAATATGCAGGTATGAAGTCAAATTTCAACCACGTGTGTATATGTACGTGCTTCGTTTAGTTTCATCAACTGAGAGCTATGACATAAAGTTCGAACAAAAAAAAACCTACAAAACGTATTGAAAATTTTTAGACTGATAAAGACTCTAAAAATTCTTTATTATTCTTTATCCGAGAAATTGATACATTCGACAAACTTTTTGTCATATGTGAATGTAATATAATATCAGTCTCACTTTTGCAACATTAGATCTTTGCGTTTTGTTTACATGGATGTATTCTCTATATATTCTATGGTCTAGTTTACACCGATATACTTTAAGGCCGATATTACATTTGTCGTACGACAAATGTAATATCGGGTGCTTTCCATTTAGTGACTCAAGTCGACACAAGTATCATTCTATCTTCTTTCAATACCAGTGAACAACAAAGATAGAATGATGCTTGTGTCGACTTGAGTCACTAAATGGAAAGCACCCATTAGAGAGAAGAATGTTCTTCTTCTTCTTCTTTCTTTTATGGCTGGTAGGGCATTAGTCGCCCATACACCATTGTTTCTTATGGGTTTGTAGAATATAAGCAAAACTCCTCTAAGAGAGGAGGGAGTCCAAAAAAAGGTCCAGACAAAGGAAAAACGCAGCACGCAAAAACACGTCCGAACCCGACACGTTGTCAGTCGGAACTTAGAGAGAGAAGAATGAGAGTCGCCACCATAGACATAGTATATCTAGACCGAGCGTTTGCCTTTATTTAAGGAGTGGGAGTAAGTGCCGATCTACAATAGGTGGTTTAAGCCCTAAGCTTTAAGAAACTGACCAATCACAATCAAGTATGAGGAGAATACTCGACTGTGATTAGTCAATTTCTTAAGGCTTAGGGCTTAAACCACCTATTGTAGATCGGCACTAAAGATGCACGTAGAAAAGGACATACTCTGTTTCGTGCTCATTGCATTCTCTCTCGCTCGCACGTAGCATAGCGTACTGTTTTCTTAAAACATATATAAATGGAAGGGGAATGCCTTTGTTTCCCGATAGAAAAACATGTCGGAAGGAAGTAGATTGAAGAAATTTTAGTCCCTTTTGTCCTGATTAGTCAAATTTCAATCTTTAATTTTCAATTTTCAATTTTCAATGCGTAGTCTGATACGAGCTTTATGCTTTATGCTTCTCTTTGTCCTGATACGAGCTTTATGCTCGTATCAGACTATGCATTGAAGATTGAGATTCAAGATTCAAGATTGAAATTTGACCAATCAGAATAAAGAAATTTTAGTCTCTTTTGTTCTAATTGGTCAA